GAGTATGCTTCTACTCCCTTTTGTAAAGTTAATTTGTTGACATATAAAACAAAAAAAGCTGAATCTCTTTTCATCTATATATAGTCTACCATTTCCACATAAACCTTGTCACACAATAGTGACACACTAACATATGAATTTTGTGTTGATTAAAGTCAATAAAAGAAAAAAAGAAAAGAAAAGAAAGATGAAAAATGTTGATAAAAGTTCAAAAATAATATATACAGGGAACTGTTACAAAAGTTCAATTATTAATCTTGTTGAAATTGTTATTAAGTGAATGTATTCCACTAACTTCGTCCTTTAAATTTGTGGAATCCGCCTTCCAAATAGAGACAACAAGGTAATTAATGTGGTCAAAAATTTGAGAGAAGAATTTGATAAACATTCTGTAATATCCCAAATTTTCTGAAATTCTAGCATTTAAGTTGAGGACCTTTGTGTGAGAAAATATTATTTTGGGGTTTATTAGCTAAAATATCCAAATTTGAGGGACTTAAAAGAGGAAAGAATTTGGATAAGGATCAGCTATTTTTTTTCCTTCTTTCTTCTTCGTCAGCCGCGCGTCTGCTCTTCTTTTTCTCCCCTGCACCGAACAAAGCCCCCAAAGCTGCCAACAGCCCTCCCTTGAAGAAAGATCGATAAGACTTGGTGATTTCTCCTTTCTTTTCTTGCTCAATAACAAGTTTTAGGACTTAGAACTCTCTCTCTCAACCCAGAAATTCCAGATCTGCTCGGTTTCTCCCCTCCCTTGTCTGCGAGCTGCAGCTTGTGGGTGCGAAATTCTGGGCTTTTTCGGTAAGAACAGCCATTAAACTCTCTGTTTTTCCTTTAATTGGCTTGAGTTACTCTAAGTTCCTCTTGTTCCTTCAATTTTGGGTTAATTCTGTGAGTCCCCTGCAGAATTTTTCCTTCCATGCCGCCGGCCTTCCCCCAAATTGCAGCTCCAACCTTGCTTGCTGGATTCTGGTATGTGACAGCCCCTTTGAGCCTAAAATTATCCTTTAATTGCTGAATTTGTCCATTTAATTACTGCCCCATGTGCTGTCCGAATTTTGTTGAATTAGGGGGATGAATTCCGGTAGCTTTAGGACAAAATTTAAGCATTAATTCAAGTAGAATTTATGTGTTTGAGTGTTAATTAGCTGTTGTGATTTTGGAGGAAAATCCCGTGTGTTT